AGGGAAAAGCATTGAACAACCTGAATTTTATTGCATATTCGAGTGGCCCATGTTCAAATACACATACTAGAGCCTTTTCGGCTTGGTTCTTGCGCGAAAAAAAAATCAGCGCCTACGTTTTCGGCCGTTTTTTTCCGCAAAGTGCCTAGAAAGCGCGTGAATCCCTATAGGCGTAGGGAAAAGCATTGAACAACCTGAATTTTATTGCATATTCGAGTGGCCCATGTTCAAATACACATACTAGAGCCTTTTCGGCCTGGTTCTTGCGCGAAGAAAAGTTCAGCGCCTACGATTTCGGCCGTTTTTTCCGCCAAGTGCCTAAAAAGCGCGTGAATTCCTATAGACATAGGGAAAAGCATTGAACAACCTGAATTTTATTGCATATTCGAGTGGCCCATGTTCGAATACACATACTAGAGCCTTTTCGGCCTGGTTCTTGCGTGAAGAAAAGTTCGGCGCCTACGATTTCGGCCGTTTTTTCCGCCAAGTGCCTAAAAAGCGCGTGAATTCCTATAGATATAGAGAAAAGCATTGAACAACCTGAATTTTATTGCATATTCGAGTGGTCCATGTTCAAATACACATACTAGAGCCTTTTCGGCCTGGTTCTTGCGCGAAGAAAAGTTCGGCGCCTACGATTTCGGCCGTTTTTACCGCCAAGTGCCTAAAAAGCGCGTGAATTCCTATAGACATAGGGAAAAGCATTGAACAACCTGAATTTTATTGCATATTCGAGTGGTCCATGTTCAAATACACATACTAGAGCCTTTTCGGCCTGGTTCTTGCGTGAAGAAAAGTTCGGCGCCTACGATTTCGGCCGTTTTTGCCGCCAAGTGCCTAGAAAGCGCGTGAATCCCTATAGGCGTAGGGGAAAGCATTCAACAACCTGAATTTTATTGCATATTCAAGTGGCCCATGTTCGAATACACATACTAGAGCCTTTTCGGCCTGGTTCTTGTGCAAAGAAAAGTTCGGCGCCTACGATTTCGGCCGTTTTTGCCGCCAAGTGCCTAGAAAGCGCGTGAATCCCTATAGGCGTAGGGAAAAGCATTCAACAACCTGAATTTTATTCCATATATAAGTAGCCCATATTCGAATACGCATACTAGAGCCTTTTCGGCCTGGTTCTTGCGCGAAGAAAAGTTCGGCACCTACGATTTCGGCCGTTTTTGCCGCCAAGTGCCTAAAAAGCGCGTGAATTCCTATAGACATAGGGAAAAGCATTGAACAACCTGAATTTTATTGCATATTGGAGTGGTTCATGTTCAAATACACATGCCAGAGCCTTTTCGGCCTGGTTCTCGCGCGAAGAAAAGTTCGGCTCCTACGATTTCGGCCGTTTTTGCCGCCAAGTGCCAAGAAATCGCGTGAATCCCAATGTCTAGTATGTAGGTTTGAACAAGGGCCACTCGAATATGCAATTAAATTCAGTTTGTTCAATGCTTTTTCCTACGCCTATAGGGATTCACGTGCTTTCTAGGCACTTGGCGGCAAAAATGGCCGAAATCGTAGGCGCCGAACTTTTCTTCGCACAAGAACCAAGCCGAAAAGGCTCTAGTATGTGTATTTGAACATGGGCCACTCGAATATGCAATAAAATTCAGGTTGTTGAATGCTTTTCCCTACGCCTATAGGGATTCACGCGCTTTCTAGGCACTTGGCGGCAAAAACGGCCGAAATCGTAGGCGCCAAACTTTTCTTCGCGCAAGAACCAAACCGAAAAGGCTCTAGTATGTGTATTTGAACATGGGCCACTCGAATATGCAATAAAATTCAGGTTGTTGAATATGCTTTTCCCTACGCCTATGGGGATTCACGCTCTTTCTAGGCACTTGGCGGCAAAAACGGCCGACATCGTAGGCGCCGAACTTTTCTTCGCGCAAGAACCAAACCGAAAAGGCTCTAGTATGTGTATTTGAACATGGACCACTCGAATATGCAATAAAATTCAGGTTGTTGAATGCTTTTCCCTACGCTTATCTATATTGATTAACGCGCTTTCTAGGCACTTGGCAGCAAAAACGGCCGAAATCGTAGGCGCCGAACTTTTCTTCGCGCAAGAACCAAGCCGAAAAGGCTCTAGTATGTGTATTCGAACATGGGCCACTTGAATATGCAATAAAATTCAGGTTGTTCAATGCTTTTCCCTACGCCTATAGGGATTCACACGCTTTCTAGGCACTTGGCGGCAAAAACGGAAGAAATCGTAGGCGCCAAACTTTTCTTCGCATAAGAACGAGGCCGAAAAGGCTCTAGTATGTGTATTTGAACCTGGGCCACTCGAATATGCAATACAATTCTAGTTGTTGAACGCATTTCCCTACGCCTATAGGGATTCACGCGCTTTCTAGGCACTTGGCGGCAAAAACGGCCGAAATCGTGGGCGCCGAACTTTTTTTCGCGCAAGAACCAAGCCGAAAAGGCTCTAGTATGTGTATTCGAACATGGGCCACTCGAATATGCAATAAAATTCAGGTTGTTCAATGCTTTTCCCTACTATCTATAGGGATTAACGCGCTTTCTAGGCACTTGGTAGCAAAAACGGCCGAAATCGTATGCGCCGAACTTTTCTTCGCCCAAGAACCAAGCCGAAAAGGCTCTAGTATGTGTATTCGAACATGGGCCACTTGAATATGCAATAAAATTCAGGTTGTTCAATGCTTTTCCCTACGCCTATAGGGATTCACACGCTTTCTAGGCACTTGGCGGCAAAAACTTCAGAAATCGTAGGCGCCAAACTTTTCTTCGCACAAGAACCAAGCCGAAAAGGCTCTAGTATGTGTATTTGAACATGGGCCACTCGAATATGCAATAAAATTCAGGTTGTTGAATGCTTTTCCCTACGCCTATATGGATTCACGCGCTTTCTAGGCACTTGGCGGCAAAAACGGCGGAAATCGTAGGCGCCGAACTTTTCTTCACGCAAGAACCAGGCCGAAAAGGCTCTAGTATGTGTATTTGAACATGGGCCACTCGAATATGCAATGAAATTCAGGTTGTTGAATGCTTTTCCCTACGCCTATAGGGATTCACGTGCTTTCTAGGCACTTGGCGGCAAAAACGGCCGAAATCGTAGGCGCCGAACTTTTCTTCGTGCAAGAACCAGGCCGAAAAGGCTCTAGTATGTGTATTTGAACATGGGCCACTCGAATATGCAATGAAATTCAGGTTGTTGAATGCTTTTCCCTACGCCTATAGAGATTCACGCGCTTTCTAGGCACTTGGCGGCAAAAACGGCCGAAATCGTAGGCGCCGAACTTTTCTTCACGCAAGAACCGGGCCAAAAAAGGCTCTAGTATGTGTATTCGAACATGGGCCACTCGAATATGCAATAAAAATCAGGTTGTTGAATGCTTTTCCCTACGCTTATAGGGATTCATGCGCTCTATAGGCACTTGGCGGCAAAAACGGCCGAAATCGTAGACGCCGAACTTTTCTTCGCGCAAGAACCAAGCCGAAAAGGCTGTAGTATGTGTATTTGAATATGGGCCACTCGAATATGCAATAAAATTTAGGTTGTTGAATGCTTTTCCCTACGCCTATAGGGATTTACGCGCTTTCTAGGCACTTGGCGGCAAAAACGGCCGAAATCGTAGGCGCCAAACTTTTCTTCGCGCAAGAACCAGGCCGAAAAGGCTCTAGTATGTGTATTTGAACATGGGCCGCTCGAATATGCAATAAAATTTATGTTGTTCAATGCTTTTCCCTACGCCTATAGAGATTCACGCGCTTTCTAGGCACTTGACGGCAAAAACGGCCGAAATCGTAGGCGCCGAACTTTTCTTTGCGCGAGAACCAGGCCAAATAGGCTCTGGTACGTGTTTTTGAACATGTTATTGTATATTCGAGTGGCCCATGTTCAAATACACATACTACAGCCTTTTCGGCTTGGTTCTTGCGCGAAGAAAAGTTCGGCGCCTACGAGTATTCACGAGGATGCAATTATTTTTATGGATTCCTCTCAGAACCACATGGTAGGGCATATTGATGGGAAGGTTTCAATATCATCTGGAATACATTCTGTACATCCTTTCAAAGATTTGAGAATGGTACCGTATGAGAGAATGATAACAAAAATGTCTTATGCCGAAACTGTTGTCCCCGCAAGTGCCCACCACGGTTGAGCCTCAAGCGAGACAGGAGGCACGTCTGGGACTGCGGCTCCTTGTTCCCCCGTGGAGCGTGCTACCTCGCAGCTGTAACCCGATGCGCCAAATCGTTTTTCGCCTCGCCCTACCAGTTCCGTCTGGCCCACATGCTATTTCGCAAAACGTGTGCTCGTTCGTGACGTCGTATGGGGAGAAGGTTGCGGAAAGCGAGCAAGGAAGGATAGGGGACAAGGAAAAGAGACTCACGAAATGAGGTAAGGCGTACAACAGTTGCGGAGAGTTTCTATATGTGATCGAGGAGCGTGTGGGTGCCCACTGCTGAGGATCGACGCGCGTGAGTCTAGCTGGCAGCGTGGATTAATCGTCAACCCAGCGCGGGGTTTAGATTCCACGGGACTCGTGGGACTCGTGGGACTCGTGGGACTCGTGAGACTCGTGGGACTCGTGGGGCTCGTTTCTGCTCGATTCTGATTGCGCTTCCAGCCGCTCCTCGTGCGATCATCGCAGCTTGAATCAGACTCGCCGTGACACGCGGTGACTTCTGAAACGACTCGAAAGCGATTTCCTGTGACGCTTAACAACCCCTGCTTCTCATCACCCGCTCTCCGGCATCAGCGCCGCGTTCTGCGGACACCAGTTCCAGCCGTTGCAGAATCCTTCGGCGATCCATCTTGCGGCGCGTTCGCGTCTAGGTATCGAGTTCGCTTATCCTCTTATTCGCTTATTCTCGTCGTCTCGCGATGGCCGTGCCTGAACCCGAGCCTCCGCCGTCGTCCGCGGCCATGCCACCGCCGCCGCCGCCTCCGCTGCTCTTCCTGGCAAAGACGGCGCTCCGGAGCAGCGCGGTGCTGCAGGCCGTCGCGGGAAGGTTCCTCGCAGCATCGTCGTACGATGTCGTCTTCGGGAAGGTGCGTGGGGGAGATGAGAAGGCGCCGTGTGCGGAGGAGCGCAGCGCACCGCAGCTCGCGCAGCGATTCTGCGCTTCGAGATAAAGTCGCGTTGAATCAAGACCGTTGCGGGTGGCTCTAGCGGCGTGCGCCGTCTAACGCGCCGTTGTTTTCTGTCATTCGAACGGAACCGTCTCTCACTCTCCTATCCGTGACCACTCCGTGATTCCCCTTGGTTTTCCACCCAGCCAAACACCTCCTCCCCCATGCTCTCTTCGTCGCACAGCCCTATCACCGCTACGTGGGTATCGCTTCTCGTCTCAGCATCCACACCCCCTTCCCCCACCTTAACTCCCCTTCCGCCCACTTCCTCTCCCCCGTTGCCCCCGACGCGCGTGTCACCCCATACCGGAGATCTCACCAGCCGTATCTGACGCGGCAGGTGGTTGTTGAGAAATCTCAAACCCCTTCCCTCTCCCTCTCCCTCTCCCTCTCCCTCTCCCTCTCCCCCTGCCTCTCCCTCTGCCTCCCCCCGCGCGCGCCTCTTCTCCCGCAGGAGTCCTGTGTGGAGCTATTGGAGGTGTTACCAGACGGTGCGCTCTCGTCCGTGTGCGAGCAGCCCGTGTTTGGAACCATCATCGCGCTGCAAACCCTCCCGCCCAACCCGCACCTTCCCCCCCCGCCTCCGCCGCCGCACCAGCCCCCGCACTCCGCCGCTACCGCCGCCGGCGCAGGCGCCGCCTCCGCCGCTCCCCCGCCCACCCCCCCCCTCGCGGCCGTCCCGCTCCCCGTGTCTCTGTCGCCGTACCTTCCGCCCTTCCGCGCCTTCTCCCCGTCGCGCCCGCTGGGGGGAATGTCACCGGGGGGAGGGGGGTCGCTGGCGCAGTTGAGGGGCGGCGCGGCAGGGGGGACAGGAGGCACCAGTCCGGGCGGTAAGGTAAATACGCGTTGTCACAGAAATGGTTCAGAAGTTGATTCCGTTTCTCTAGTCAATTTAAAGACCAGTCCAAACGCCCTCGCTCCTCTCTCCCTCCTCCCCCACTTCCCCTTCTCCCCCGTGCCCCCCTCCCCTCGGCCCATTCCCCCTCTCTGCCTCCCCCTGCGCCACCACTTCTCCCCGCACCCCTCACCCTCGGTGCACGGTATGCGGGGGGGGACATGCTAGCAGTGCCATCAGATTCATGCAAGCTGTGCATTCCATGCCACCCATGCCCCCCCTCCCCCGCCCTCCCGTCCCCTCCCCTGCTGTGCGCAGTACGGGGGGAGGGACATGCTAGCAGTGCTGTCGGATTCGGGCAAGCTCTCCATCCTGGCTTTCGATCCTGATGAAGCTCAACAGGTGCTGCTCGCATGGGGGGAACTTGCACGGGGGTAGGGGGGCCCTGGTGTTGCCAGTGGGTAAGGCGTAGGCATGGCAAGCTGTCCATCCTGGCCTTCGACCCTGACCTCAACAGGTGCCGTGCCGCGAGGGAGAGAGAGGGGGGGTGGATGGGCAGTGGGAGTACTACTTGCATGGGGGTTGGTAGGGGGTTCCGGTGTTGCCAGTGAGTGGGTTAGGCGTTGGCAAGCTCTCCATCCTGGCCTTCGACCCTGACCTCAACAGGTGTCGCGAGGGAGAGGGAGAGGGGGGGTGGGCGAGGGGCAGTGGGAGAACTTTTACGGGGGGTAGGGGGGGGCCTTGGTGTTGCCAGTGGCGTGGGTTAGGGAAGACCGGGAAGTGAGGGCCCACCGGCATGGGCGGTGGGAGGAGGAGGGGCCTGGGGGCTGGACGCTGTGGTGGGAGAACAGCTAGTGCTGGAGTGGGGTTGCCTGAGGGTTAGGTGTGCTGGCAAGCTGTCCTGTCCATCCTCGCACTTTGAGACGCCTCAAATCAAGCTGTTCTGTCCTGCCCATTTTCGAAGTTGATCAGGTGTTGGCCTCAGCACGTTTTAGCTTGTTATTGCTGACTGATGCACTTTAAGTTGACCTTTTTCACCTGCATTCGCAACTGTTTCTCCCCGCTTGATTCCCCAGATTCGTCGCTCTGCGACACGTGGCGCTTTCTGATAGGCCGCGGCCGCTGCAGTCCTTTGCGCCCCGGGAGCTTGGGCGGTTGCTGGCAGTACACCCATTGTGAGATGCCACAGCCCCTCCATACCCTGTGTTGATTGCTTATTGTGATAGTGTGTATATATATATATATATATTTACTTTGGTGTGTATCAATTGTGTATCTGTTTATCATAAGACTTCTAGTATCAGAGGCCATGTCTGCCTTTCCGCCCCAACGTGTCCTGTATGCCTCAAACCCTAAGCATCAACTTCCCAAGGTATCACCCCTCAAATCTCCAACCCCACATCATCGCCCCCTGCCCTTTATGTCTCTTCCTCCCCCTTCCCCCCCCTTCCCCCCCTTCCCCCTCTTCCCCTCCCCCCCCCCATCTCCTCCACTCCTCTCTGCCCGCTGTGAGCGCAGAGGCAGGGCGGTGGCAGTGGCGGCAATGGAAGGGCGAGTGGCGGTGCTGCCAGTGCTGCACTCACACACGTGCGATAGGCTCATTGCCAAGGTGGGACGGACGCAGAGGGACAGTAGCTGGACTGGGGCAATAGTAGGGGAGATTGCTGGTTACGTGTAATGTGCCTGTGCTGCCCTGCGTAATGAGCTGTTAGTTACCATGTCCTGTCCCATTGTGAAGCTGCATATGGGAGGTGCGTTCTTTGCCTCCTCTCATCTTTTCCCTCCTCCCTGCCCTTCCTGCCTCACTTCAAACTGATATCATGTGCGCCCCTCCCCCCACCCACCCCTCTCTCCCCCTCCAATCTCCTTCTGCGTTCCTCTCTTGCCCCCTTGGTCCTTCAACTCCCCCTCCCCCCGCCCTCCACTTCTTCCTGTTATTCCCCCCTGCAGCCCATTGTGTACCCCTCGTCCGCCTCCACCTCTTCTCTACCCGCCTCCCCTGTCACCATACCATCAGCAGCACTTCGAACCACTCCGACTGCCACTCCCACGCACACGCACACACCACAGCACTCCTCCTCTCCCTTCTCCCATCTCCTCCGCAACCGGCCGCCAACCGTCACCCTCGGCACCATCTGGAGCATCGCCTTTGTCACCTCCGCACCACTCCGCACCGCTTCACACCGCCCCGCCCCTGCCGCCACCGCTTCTGGTGGTGCAGGGGATACTGCCACCAATCCAGTTGCTCCATCCGCTGCTGCTGCTGCCTCTGCTTCTGCTTCTGCTGCTGCCGCTGCTGCTATTGCCAGCACAGCACCAGGCACAACTCCCCCTGCCGTCTCTCCTGTCTTCCGTGTCCCCACGTCGCTCCCCTCTGCACCACCCCCGCCACTGCTGTACCTCCCCCCACCTGCCAACGTTCCCATGTCCCCCTGCGCCTCTGCAATGCATGCTGCAGCAGCAGCGGCGGCAGCAGGGGACGCCAGTCCTGCTTTGCTCCCTGCTCAAGCCTCCCACCAGCAGCATCAGCCGCAGCAGCGTCCGCAGCAGCAGCAGCAGCAGCAGCAGCAGCAGGTGGTGATGGGGGGAAAAGAAGGGTCGGGTCCCCTGTACCTTGCAGTGCTTTCGCACAGGTGCGTGATCCGTAAACGCTGAGAAAGTGGGCACTATTCTCTGTGCGCTGTGCTCTGTGCCCTGTGCTCTGTGCCCTGTGCTCTGTGCCCTGTGCCCTGTGCTCTCGCACTTTGAGTTGCTGAGTTGCTCATTAAGCGTCCTCCATGCGGGTTTCGACACCCCAACCTCAAACCCTCCTGCAATCAGTACATTTCTTGCTGGTACTCTTCCCCTTCGTCCTCCGTCCCTTCACTGTCACTCTCCTCCCTCCCCACCTTCTCCAAAAAGACCAAAACCCAGAACCAAAACCCCTGAACCTCCTATCCACCCACCCATGTCGTGCCCCCTCCTTTTTCCCCCCCCGTCCCCAGCAAGGACGCCTCTTCCTTTGACCTCGTTCTGCTACGCTGTGATCCTGCTCTCGCCTCCCTCCGCCCTGCCTCCTCTCTCTCCATCCCCGCCCGACCCTGCCCCATGCATCTCGTCACTCCCCCCCGCACGCCCAACACGCTTCTGCTGCTGCGCGAGGGGAGTGTGGTGGTGGTTGGTGTGAGGGAGAGGGGGAGGGGAGAGGGAGTGAGTATGGTGGTAGAGGCAGTGGTTGGGCTGGGAAGGGATGTGAGGAGTGAGGGGGAGAGAGTTGGGGGGTGGCAGAGGGGGAGGGAGAGGAGGAGGAGAGGACGGGGACGAGGAGGGGGAGGAGGGGGAGGAGGGGGAGGAGGGGGCGGAGGAGGGGGCGGAGGAGGCGGAGGAGGCGGAGGGGGAGGAGGCAGCGGTGGTGGGGGAGGGGGAGGGGACGGGGGAACGGGGGGAAGCGGAGGAGGAACGCGAAGCGGCGGTGGGAGAAGTGGGGAAAGATTCGGGGAGGACGGGAGTAGGGAGGGAGAGGGGAGGAGTGAAGAGGACAGGGGCGAGAGCGAGGGATGAGTGACGCCTCTGGGGGTATGGAAGGAGGGGGAAGAGCGTGGGCAGGCGCAGGGAGCAGGGGAGAAGGGACGGAGCAGTGGGAGAGGAGCGTTGGAGGAAACACTATGGGAGACACCTGGGGTTGCAGCATGGAGTGTGGTATTACTGCTGGCAGCAGCAGCAGCAACAGCAGCAGCAGCAGCAGCAGCAGTAGCAGTAGCGCTCCCTGCAGCAGTGATGGTGGGGGAAGTGAATGCCACCATAACAGCATTGCAGTGAATTCCCTGCGAGAATCCCCCAGCCTGCGCGCCGCTTCTCGTGTCGTGTCGACCGCTCTCGCCGCCCCCTCGTCCCCCCTCACGCCGTCGCCCTTTGCACGCCTTGCCCACGATGCCGTCAGGCATGCTCTACTGCAGGGGCGGCGTTATGTGGAGGGGAATGGCGGGAAGGGGTACCTGGGGGAGGTGGTAACTGGCGAGGCAGTAGCTGGGCTGGTCACGGTGGGGGGAGAATTGAGTGGAAGAGTGGAGGATACGCAAGTGGGGGAGGTGCGGGACAGGTGGAGGATTGGAAGGGGTTGGGCTGGGGAGGAAGGAGGGGCGAGTGGGAGTGAGGTGGAGAGGTGTGTGGAGCGGTGCGTGGGGGACGATGTGGGAAAGGGGGGCTTGGTTCTTTGGCCAGATGATTCACGGGGTGGTGGTGATGGCAGGGGGGGTTATGGTAGTGGTGGGTGTGGGGTGGAATGGGGAGAGAGGTTTTGGGATAAGACGCAGAGAGCGGGAGGGGTTGATGATGGGGAGAGGGGTGTGGGGGGATGTGCAGGGGGGGATGGTGAGGGGGCGGATAGGCATGAGTGTGAAGGCGAGGGTATGGTGGGGGGAAGAGAAGTGGAGGGGGAGGACGGAGGGGAGGGGGAGGAAGAAGGAGAGGGAGAAGAAGGGGAAGGGGAGGGCGGCACAGGCGAGGAGCAGGAAATGGAAGAAGAGAGGGGAGAGAACGAGGGGGAGGGAGAAGAGGAACAGAAGGAGGAGTACGAGGGGGAGAGGGAATGGGATGTGCAGCAGGAGCAAAAGGAGGAGGAGGGGGAGGAGGAGGAGGAGGAGGAGGAGGAGGAAGAAGACGATGGGGAGGGGGAGGATCCGTTGGGATTGAGATTGTTGGAGGAGGAAGGGGGAGGCGAGGAGGGGGTTTTGATCAGCAGTTGGAGCTGGGAGGTGCAGGCAGGACGAGAGAGGTGGTGCCACATGAGTCATGGGCACGGGCACGGGTATGGGTATGGGCATGGGTATAAAGGGAAGGCGAGATCTAGGGTTGGCAGGAGGAGGAAAGAAAGTTGTGGTGGTGAGAGCGGGCCAGCGGATGGGGCCGTGTGGGGGGAGGGCGATGTGGTGATGATGGAGGGTGGGGGAGGCGAAGGGGGCGAGGGGGGCGAGGGGGGTAAGGGGGGCGAGGGGGGTAAGGGGGGCGAGGAGAGAGGATGGGGAGAGAGGGGAGAGGGGGGAGAGGGGAGAGAGGGGGAAGAGACGCAAGAGGAACAGGGGGGGCTTGAACAGTCGCAAGGAAAGCATCACGTGGAGGAGCAGGAGCAGCAGCAGGAGAAGGAGGATGAGAAGCCCGCGCGGCAGCAGCAGCGAGAGCAGCAGCGGTGGAAGCAGCGTGGGAGGAGTGGTGTGAGGTGTGTAGTAAGGGAGGAAAGGCTCCTGCTCTGCACGGACCAAGGCACTCTCCACGTGCTCTCCCTTCAGCACCACTCGCCCTCTTCCTCCTCCTCTTCCACTTCCTCCTTCCCTTCCTCCCCTGCCTTGTCTTCCGCCTCTGCCTCCTTTCGTTCTACCACCTCCGCGCTCACCCCCGCTCTCACACCCACCTCTCCCCTCTCTGCCTCCCCCGGTAGCCCCCTCCTCCCGTCCCCCATTCCCCCCACCTCCCGCGCCTCCCCTTCGTCCGCCTGCTCCCCCATGTCTCTTCAGAGTGGCCCCCCGCGCGACCAGGAGGGACAGGGGGAGGGGGAGAGGGCGGAGGGGGCGGGGGAGGCGGAGAGGGAGAGAGGGGATGGCAAGGGAGAAGGGTCTGAAGGCGGAGGGGGAGGGAAGGGAGAGGGTAGAGAGGAGGGGCCGGTGAGGGAAGAGAGGTGTTTACAGGTGTGGCTATCACCGGTGCTTGCGAGTGGAGTGGCGGTGGGGGCTGTGGCATGGCAGGGCAGCACACGGTGGTTGCTGCTGCTGCTGCTGGGTCAGGGTGCGTGTTCCAGGTAGGGGGGGAGAAGAAGAGAGACGAGGTGGGGGAAGAGAGGGGTGCGGAGGAGAGGGTGGGAGGAGGTGGAGAGGAAGAAAGGGAGGAGGGAATGGAAGCAGACAGGTGCACACATGAACCTACCACCGCTGCTGCTGCTGCTGCTGCTGCTGGTGGGGCTGATGCTGCCACAACGGGTGCAGGAATGAGGGTGGAGGAGCAGCAGGGGGAGCAGGGGAAGGGCAATGAGAGACGGTCTGGGAAGCAGCAATGGGTTCTAATGGAATGCGACAGAGATGCGTCACCTAGCAAGTGCAACGCCAACCACCCCACCTCCCTTCCACCTCCCCCCATCTCCCATCAACAAACCCTCCCTCCCTACCCGCTCCCCTCCTCCTCCCCGCTCCCATCCCCGCCAATCTCCCTCACCCCACACTCCCCTATCCCAGGCATCGCCCCGCTAATAGACTTCACTCTAGCAGATCTGGGGGGCCAGCAGCAGGACCAGGTGGTAGCAGCGTGCGGGGAGGGGGAGGGCGGGGCGGTGTGTGTGGTGCGGAACGGGGTGAGTGTAGAGCGGTTATTATCAACCGCACCGGAGTATCACGGGGTGACAGGCACGTGGACTGTGCGGGTGCGAGCAGGAGACGAGCACCACTCGCTCTTTGTCATGTCATTTGTCTCTCAGACGCGAGTGCTCGCCGTGGGTAATCGCTTCAGGGATGTCTCAGACCAAGTCCCTATGGACCTCTGCTCGCCTACCCTAGCAGCAGGGCGCATCTTAGACGGTTACCTCGTGCAGGTAACACCTGGACAGGTGCGACTGTGCCGCGTGCCGCATGCGCTCATGCGGGGGAGTGAAGGAGGGGAGGGTGGAGGAGAGGAGGATGGGGAGGCGGGCGCGGGTGAAGGGATGGAGATTGGGGTGGATGGGGGGTGTGGGGGTGGCGCGGATGGGGGCGATGGGAGGAGGGAAGGCGGAGTGTCACATGATGGGCTGGTCTGGTTCCCACCCTCCTCAACCACCACCACCACCGCCTCTAGCGCCACTGCTGGCAGCAGTAGCAGCAGGAGCAGGAGCAGTGGCAGCAGCGGCGGCGGCGGCAGCAGCAGTAGACAGCTGATAGCAGTGGCAGCGGTTGCTAGCGGAGTGGTGCTAGTGGCGCTCACTTGCAACCCGCCTGTGCTCGTCATGCTCACATGCTCCGTGCTGCCCCCGTTCACCCAGGAGGCCTCCCCCATCTCTTCCATGCGCGCACCAGGTGGGGCTTCGGTGCAGGCGTTTCCTCCCCCGCGGGTGTGTCTGGTGGAGGTTTGTCGCTACTCTCTGCAGTATGAGCTGTCTTGTATCCACATCCCAGATGACACGTTTCCTCCGCTGCCACTCGCACAGGGGCATGAACTAGCACAGGCGCAGGCACAGGGGCATGGACAGGCAGAGGCTCCGGCACAGGCACAGGGTAAAGGAGAAACAGGGTTGGGTGAACCAGCAAGAGCAGCAGCAGGCGCAACAGCAGCAACAGCAGCAGGAGGCAGCCCATCTCTGGTGGGGCGAGTGGCCTTACTAGGCACATACGAGCCATCCGTGCGGGTTGTTTCCCTAGACCCCGCACACCTCTTCCGCCTCATAGCCCTCGCGCCCCTGCGCGCCCTCCCCCTTCCCGCACTCGCTCGCAGCAGCGCCAGCAGCGTCAGCGGCGGCAGCGGCAGCATGGGAGGGAGCGTGCCGGAGAGCACGTGTCTGCTGCTATTCGACCAGGCGTATGTGGCAGTGGGGTTACGCAACGGCACCCTGGTCCGGTTCGCGTGGCCGCAAGGGAAGGAACCACAGGCGCTGCAGCTGCAGGCATCAACAGGGGCTCCCGCTCCCGCATCCGCACTCGCACGCGCTGCCTTATCCACCAGCAACCCTCTCCATCCCCTCCCCCGCGCGGTCCAACTAGAGCTAGTAGCAGATCGGCAGCTGGGTCTCTCCCCCGTGGTGCTCGTTCCGCTGCAACCATCCCTGCAGTGCGACGTGGTGGCTATGAGCGAGCGGCCCTGGCTGCTGGTGCACTCGTCGCACAGCATGCGCCCGCTCTGCGCGTCCATCTCCTTCCCCGCGTGCACGCACGCTGCGCCGCTCTCCTGCGCCGGCTGCACCAGCGGGATCATATTCGTAGCAGACAGGTCGTTACATATTGTGGAGCTAGCCCGGGCCCGTAGGCTGGACATGCACTGCATGCCGCTACACGCCACGCCCCAACGCCTCCTCCTCCACCCCTCCTCACGCATTCTCCTCGCCGCCTGCGCCGCCGCTCCCCCCCGCTCTCCCCCGCCTCTCTCCTCGTTCCTTGACCAACCGTCCCCGCCTCCCACCCCGTCGTCAGCCCCCTCCCGCCCGTCCCTCCGGTGTGTGGACCCCTCGTCTGGGTTAATTCTTTCGAGCTTTGAGCTGCCTGTGTCGTCGCGTACGCGCTCGCTGGCCCTCTGGCAGCCGCAACGACCGAGAGTGCGAGGCAGGAGGGGCGGGGTTGCTGGGAAGGGTGTGGTGCGAGCAGGGAAGGGGAAGGGGAAGGAGGAGGGGTTTCCAGAGTTGAAACGGACGGATCGGGTGCGGTGGGTGGGAGGGACGGAGGGGAGGTATGGTGGACGGTTGGATGAAGAGGGGAGGGAAGGGGGAGGAGGGAGGGAGAGGGTGGGGAAGGAGATAGAAGGGGTGGAAGGGAGTGGGGGGGAGGAAGGCGAGGAAAGGGAAGAGGGGGGAGATTTGGAGGGACAGCAGGGGAGGGGCGGTGGGAGTGGAGAGGGGCGGCAGGAGGGAGAAGAGGAAGGAGAAGGGGAAGGGGAAGGGAAAGAGGAGGTGCAAGTGCAAGAGGTGGTGGTGGTGGAGGAGGAAATGGGGGAGGAGGAGGAGCAGCAGGAGCAACAGCAGGAGCAAGGGCAGCAATGGCAGCAAGAACAGCAGGAGCAGCAAGAGCAGCAGCAGCAGCAGCAGCAGCCAGTGACACCAATACAGAGCCCGCCAGCAGTAACAGCTCAACAGCCCTCGGGTGCCCCGCCCCCACTGCACCACGCACCCTCCTCCTCCCACTCCCAGCAGCAGGAGCCCTCCCCTCTCGCTCCGCTCCCCCACGCCCACACGCCTTCGCGAATCACTCTTTCTCCCATCCCGCCTCGTCTGCTCCACACAGGGCAACATGCGGGAGGGAGAGTTGGTGGCATGGATGGGGAGGAGGATGAGGATGAGGAGGAGGAGGGTGCGAAACATGGGGAATGGGATGTGGGGAGGGATGAAGGGAAGGGGAAAGGGAAGGCGGTGGCGGGTGGGGAGCAGCAGCAGCTGCACCAGCAGCAGCAGCAGGGGAGGCAGAGGCGGAGGGAGCATGGGAACAACAGCAGCAAGCACGAGTTTGTGATGCTAGGGACGGAGGAGACGGAAGGTTCTGATACCGGGTATGCAGCTGCTTGTGCTTCCTGGCTGACCGGCACGGCAACTGTGTTGCTGTTAGCTTCATGCTTTGCCTCCCTCCCATTCACGCACTCCCCCCTCTCTCTCCTCTCCTGCGCCCCGCTCACTGTCCTCTCCGTCCCTCCTGAAGTTATTAGAAAGTCACTCCCCTTTGGTGTGCACCCAGCAATATGCTTTTGAGTCGACTCAAAAGCAGACTCATTACACGTGGTTTCTAAATTAAAAAGTCACTCCCCTTTGGTGTGCACCCAGCAATATTAACATTTTGTTCTTTCGTTTCACACGCTCCTCCCTCCTCCCGCCTCTCCCCCCTCCCCCCTCCCACCCTCCCGCCCCATCCGTTTCCCTACTTTTTCCTCCCTAACCTCTTCCTTGAGTTTTCGCATATGACTTCTCCCCTTACTACCCCAAGCGAAGTTCCAGAAGCAGTGCATCTCTTAGTCCAGTCTTTTCCCATAGTTTCCTGCTCGTCCCTTCGCATTCCCTCCTCTCATCCCTCCTAGTCCCCCTCTACCCCTCTACCCCTTCGCCCCCTTCGTCCCACTCTCCTCCTCACTCTTCCTGCCCCAACCCTCAACCTCCTATCCCTCCTCTCTCCCCGTCTCCCCCTTTCCCCACCTCTCCCCCTCCCCCACACACACAGGGGCACACTGTACATGCTGCGTCTGCAACCCTGCCCACTGCCCTCCTCCTCTGCGCCTCCCACCCGACCCTCTCGCCCATCCCTCCCTCCCCTGCCTCCTCTCTCCACACCTCTCCTTTCCACACCACCTGTCGCCTCAGCAGCAGCTGCTGCCGCCGCTGCTGCCGCTGCTACTGGCAGCAGGGCAGGGGGAGGCAATGGTAGTGGCAGGGGGGGAAGGTGGGGTGAGGAGGGGGGAACGGGGGAGAGGCTTGGGGGGCTGAGTGGGGTACTGGAGCGGATGAGACGGGCAGTGGCTGCTGCTGAGCGGAGGGGAGGGGGAGAGAGCGGGGGAGCAGGGGGAGTGGGGGGAGCGGCTGGAAGGGAGGCAGAGGGGGCAGGTGGGGGAGAAGTGGGCGGTAGCACTGCAAGGGGAAGGAGGGGCGCGGAAGAGGTAGGGGGGCAGGGGGGAGAGGAGACAGGTGGAATGGAAAGAGGGAGGGAGAGAGTGATGGGAGGAAGAGAGCATGGGGCAGGGTGTGGTGATGACAGGGGGGGAAGCAGTGGGGAGGAGGAGCAGGGACGACCGGCAGTAGGCAGTCGGGGGGCTGATGCTGCTGCTGGTGGTGCTGGCGAGGGGGAAAGAGAACAGACAGCAGCAGCAGCAGCAGCAGCGGCGGCGGCGGTGAGGGGTTGGGGCAGGAGCGGCAGTGGGAGGGTGGGAGGTGGTGCTGCTACGGAGTGTGCCCATGCCTGGGCCAGTCTCTGCCATCGTGCCGTTCCTGCACAAGTACCTGCTCGTTGCTGCTGGCAACATGGTGCGTACCTGTTGAGCCTCGTTCCACCACTGAAATCACAGTCTTTGCCATCGTCCCTTTCCCCCTGCTCATAGGACCTGCTTGCTCGTTGCAGCTAGCCTAGCAACGTGGTGCGTGCGCGCGCACCTACCTACGGTACTTGTGAAGATATCTGCTTGTGAACATACCTGCCTGCTGCTTGCTTGCTGCATACCACCAACTGAGCGTCTCTCTGCTGCCGTTTGCCTCCATATAAGCCTGTCACACCATCTTATAAGGTGCCTTCCCCCTCTCTGTCCCCTCCCTCCCCTCCCGCTCCCCCCAGCTGCTGTGCTTCTCCTTCTCCCCCAAGGCATATCTACGACGAGTGGCCTCCATCAGAACCCGCCACGCCATTCTGGGCGCCTCAAGTCTCTCCCTCTGTCCACCCCCTCCGTCCTTCCTTCCCCCCCCGCTCCCCCCAGCTGCTGTGCTTCTCCTTCTCCCCAAAGGCATATCTACGGCGAGTCGCCTCCATCAGAACCTATCACGCCATCGTTGGCGCCTCAATAAATCTCCCGCTCTGTCCCCCCCTCTCCGTCCTTCCCTCCCCTCCCTCTCCCCCTCCCCGTTTCCTCCCTCTCACCCCAGCTACTGTGCTTCTCCTTCTCCCCCAAGGCATATCTACGCCGAGTTGCCTCCATCAGAACCCGCCACGCCATCCGATCCCTCTCCGTTGCTCCGCCCGCGCCCCCCCCACACCCCTCTCCCGCCCTCCTCCGGCCCACTTACCTCCTCCTCTGCTGCCGCTTCTGCCACCGCCACTGCCACCACCACTGCCACCACCACTGCCACTGCCACTGCTACTACCACTGCCACGGCCGCCACTGCTGCTGTGCCTGGTCTGCTGGCCGCGCTGTCTGCTTCCGCCCCGCCCACTCACCGCGTTCTGGTGGCGGATTCCCGGGATGGTGTGCTGCTGTACGCCTTCCATGAGGTACCCCCACCCACCCACCCACCCACCCACCACATTGACCCCTGTCTGTCTAGAACTTCTGAGTAGTCTTTTGACCAGTCTAACCTAGGTACCCACCCATCCCATTGCGCACGTCGTTCTACAAACATCCACTTTCCACTTGCTTTGAAGTGCCAGGTGGGTCAACTCAAAAGTCACGTATGGTGATGTATGCCGTAGCTTTCAGGAGTCACTCATCTGTGCTGCAATTCCCCCTGACTCCTGTTTCCGTTCTCTGAAAGTTCTATTGCACTTCGACTTGTCACCCCCTCAACCCCCACCGGTCACCTATATCCCCCACGCGGTGTGCCCCCAACGTGACTCCTGTCGCGCCTCCCCATAACCATATCACTCCCTGTGTTCCCCCGCTATCACTCCCTCCCTCCCGCCCATGCCCAACGCAGGGAGCAACACGATTGCAACTAATACACTTTGACCCATCGCATCGCCTTCAACACTCCCCACGTGTTCAACTCCCCTATACCCCCACCCGCTTCCCCTGGTGTGCCCCCACCCCTATATGACTCCCGCCCATGCCCAACACAGGGAGCAGCACGGTTCGAGCTACTACAGTCAGACCCATCGCACCGCCTCACGTCCGCATGCCTGCTGCTCTCCTCCCACCCCGCTGCTGCTCTCGCCTGTGACCGTCGAGGCTCCCTCTGCCTCCTCGCCGCGCCACCACCACCCTCTCCTGCTGACCTTGGTGCGAGCCTCATCATCAGTACTAAACCCTAAACTCCTTGCCCCGCCTCATCATATTTTCGGGATTCTTATTTCTGGAAGGCACTTCAGAATGATTCTGCGACCGTCGTTCAAACCACTCCCTTTTGCGGACCTCGGTCCGTGCGTGATTCGGCTTCTTCAATCTCCCTTTCCCAGGGGTGGGGTCCCAATTTGAGAGACTTGGATTGAGACTTTTTTCAAAGAGATTGGCACTGATTTAACCTCTGTCGCTGCATTTGGCTGTTTCCCCTCAACCCCCTCACTCCCCTTAGTCCCCGCACTCCCCTCACTCCCCTCAGTCTTCTCACTCCCCTCACTCCCCCCACTCCCCTCACTCCCCAATCCCCTCACTCTTCACTCCCCTCACTCCCCTCACTCCCCTCACTCCCCACTCCCCTCACTCCCCTCACTCCCCTCACTCACCTCACTCCCCTCACTCACCTCACTCACCTCACTCCCCTCACTCCCCTCACTCCCCTCAGTCTCCTCTTGGCCTGAATGCAAAACCCCTGTTCCCCTGTGTCCTTCTCTCATTCCCATGCATCCCACACTCGGCACTCTTGTCCTGCTCCCCCGCATGCCTACATGCAGGGTGCACGGGCAACAGTCCAGAGCGGAACCTGCAGGAGAGGGCGTGGTTCTACCTGGGGGAAGGCGTGCAGGGCGTGAAAAAGGTGCGTGAAAAAATGTTCTGCCGCTGTTGACTTTTGAGTCGACTCAAAAGTCAATGTGCTTCTGTTGCTTGTGAGGATTCTTAATCACAACTCCAATGTTCTGCCGCTGTTGCTGCGTTCGCTGCTGGTGCTGCAGGGTTCCCTGGCATACCGCACCCCCCTGGCATCCACAGACCACCGCCTGCCCAAGCAGCACCTGCAGCAGCAGCTTCAGCCGGGAGAAGCACTGGTGGAGAGGGAGGAAGCAGGAGGGGCAGGAGAGGCGGGAGGGAGCAGCATGGGCAGTGGCAAAGGGATGGGTGGCGGGAGGGGGAGGGATGGCGGTGTGGGTGGTGACGTGGGTGGTGGGGATTCATCCATGGGTGCTTCGTCGCTGGTGGTGTCGACTCTGCTGGGATCCGTTGTCACGTTGCTGCAGCTGTCCAGGTGCGAGTGTGAAAGTGCCACGGTGCCACCGCCATGCCACGCATCTTCGTTTGTGTTAACTTGCTTCTATGCATACTTGCATCCTTGTACAGCTGTTGTAGTCCTCTCCGGGCCATTGCAGCATTTATGATGTCACCCATCTCTATGTCCCTCTCTCCCCTCTCTCCGCACTCTCCCCTCTCTCCGCACTCTCCCCTCTCTTCCCCTTCTCTCCTCTCTCCCTCTCGCCCCTTCTCCCCTCTATCAGAGCGGACTATGCCCTGCTGTCGCTCATAGAGCGTCGTTTGGCAGAGCACCCACTCACAGCACCCCTCCTTGGCAACAACCACGCTCACTTCCGCTCCAAAGGGGCTCCCGTAAGGCTGCCCTTCCCTTTGTTTTTCTTCTTCCTCGGATGCCAGATTCGTCTCTTGCCTTCTGCCTTTCCCCTCAACCTCAACCCGGTCTCCCTCTCATGACGCCTCTCTACCACCATCAACATGCCGCCGCCCTATCCCCTCCATGCCCCACCTTGCATCCCCATGTGCTATGCTGTCCGACTGTTGTGTCGTCTCAGAAGCCATCTCATCAGCTGCCTCAACGACCGTTCTAAAAGTCGTCTAAAAAGTCCTCAGACGTTCTTCCAATCCCTCCCGCGTGCCCTCACCCCCGCTCCCTCCCCTCACCCCAGCCCCATGTGGTGCGAGTTCTAGACGGCGATATGCTGTCTCAGTTCCTGCACCTCTCTCCGCGCCAGCAGCAACACGTGCTCTCAGGCGCCTCTGCAGACGCCGCCGCCTCGTCCCTCCTCGGCCCTGCCTACGCGGCTTCTCTCCCGCCCTCTGCTGCCAGCCTTGGCAGCAGCAGGAGGAAAACCACCAGGATGGCACGTGTTGCTGCTGGCGGCAGCGGCAGCAGCAGCAACGGGAGCGGGAGCGGGAGCGGGAGTGGGAGTGGGAGCAGTGGTGGGGAGGGCACAGGGGAATGGCGGTCATCTGCGCTGCTAGACCTACTAGAAGGCCCCCGAGAGAGAGTGTGGGTGGGTGCCAGGGGAGGCTTGGCTGAGGCAACAGCCAGTGCCGCTGTTGCAGATGACGGTGCTGCTCGCGATGCTGGTTTTGTTGGAAACATGGCTGGGCTGAGTCAAGAAGCACATACGGCTGTTCACTTGGGCAGTGCTGCTGGTAGGGCTTGGGCAGATGAGGAGGAAACGGCGCCGCATGCATATCGCACCCTTGCCTTTGCAGATGCTGATGCTGTTGCTGGTCGTGATGCTGACGCTGACGTTGATGCTGACGTGGATGTTGATGCGGATGACATGGATCACGGTGTGCAAAGCCCTCCATTGGGACATGAGATGGAGTCAGCAGGTTTGGTGGGTGGGGTGGGAGGGGTGGGTGGGCCATGGTCCCTGCAGGCGCTGCGATCCTGCATTGACCCCTTGGAAGAAGGTGACTCGCCTGTCTCCTTGCAGGCTATTCTACGGCTGCTGGAACGAGTACACAATGCGCTCACTTGAAACCACTCGTATGGGAGGATTTGCCAGGCTGTCAATTCATGGAGATTCTATCGACATTATGGATAAAAAGGAAAGAGAGAAAAAAAACATATTGAATTTTCTGGCAAAAAGTAAGGTATACACCAAGGGTTTCCAATACCTTGCTTGCATTACCGGATGAGCCGTCTATGGGGATTTTAGAGAGGCTTGCAGACAGAATGAAGTGTAAGATGAACCCACGAATGATTCTTCTTCGTGTAAATTCTTCCAATGAAACAACAGGTGGTATGGTACGGTACAGTGCCATATGACGTGGTGACAATGGTAAGCCTACGACTACTGGGATTGGTTGCGAACTGCATACACCATTGACGACGCTTTATGAGAATCCAGCTCCGATGCCAAACGGGCCAATCGAAATTAAGAATGGGGAGCCAACGCACGAGCGTCTGCTGACGCATCCCCAGATATCACGGATTCCACGTAATTCTCCACTACTTCCAGGCACATTGCCCGTCAGAGGGGAGGAGGCTCAAGGCCTACTCGCTGCCCTTCCCTTCCGCCCGACCAAACCAATCACTTTCTCCCAGCCCAGCCAAATCAAACCAAAACCAAGTGAGTGCTTCAAAGTTCAAACTCGACAGTTCGAGAGGTTGGAGCTGCCATTCTCAATTTCGGCTCTTTACCCGCTTCACCATCCCTTCCCATCTCCAACGACCTCCATATCCAACACCATCCAACACTCCTACCTGCTCATTCGCCATTCTTGAGGTCTTCTTCCACCTTTCACTACATCTTGAGCCATTAGAGAGTCGAAATGGCAGCTACCAAGTCATTCATGAAGCAGTGGGTGAAGCCTGATGTAAGTGTTATACGAGCATCTTTCAACGAGGTACTTCGAGTCCGGCCTTTATTTGACCCCATTATGCGTTACCATTACAGGTGTACCCCCTCATTGCCGCCATTGGCGCAGGCCTGACCTTCATGGTGTACAGTGGAAGCAGGGCCCTCTTCCAACCTGACGTCTTGTAAGTTCCACCTTCAAAGTTCACGCTTTTTGCTTATTGTTGACTCTCTCAACTAGCATGCTGAAGTCGACTATCTGTAACTGGCAGTGTGAACAAGGCGACCAGGGTGGATAACGGCGGTGAGATGTGTTCAGAGAAAGAAGGCAAGGAGTACAAGCATTCACCACTCCGGGAATTCGTGAAGACGCAGTATGACGTCGAGTCGACCGTCAGCCCTCATGTACCAGCGCGAAAGTGAGGGCTTCGGTCGGAACTTGGCTATGGGAAGAATCGGTCCTTAATCTATTCTTACAGCACAAGCGTGCGTAGCGTTGTATATTGCTTTCAATCAGCATAGTCGTGTCGTGCATTACCATACGGAGATTTCAGTCACTACCGCTGCTTACGCATAGCCTAGCCAATGAAGTTAAATCTGAATTCACGACCATACAGCTGATTAACTAAGGTTACAACCGCCAACAAGGTCTCGCTCATGAAACGTGGAATCAAGTCATGACATTGTCATGGTCATTATAATGCAAGGTATTCCTACAACACCTAGAATGAAGCAACCTCGTATCACTTCCCAACTTCATTTTCAGATACGATTACAATGCATAGAAGTGGACCCCGTTCAAATTCCAACAGACATAACTTACGAAGAATTGATAATCCTGTAAAACAACTTCGACGTGTGAGTTAACATACATATGCAGAGCTTCGGGCCGTACGTTGGCATACTGGCCACGAGTGTACTCCTTAGTCGAAGCGATAATGCTTATGCACAGCATCTGAGACCTTCCATGTGCAGCTCATGCCGTCGGGGAACACGACAAGGTCTCCAGCCCCGAATTCCACACTTTCTGTCTCGCCTGCTGGCGTGACCTTCACTTTGCCCCGAATAAGATAGCATGTCTCCGTGCCGCTATATGTCCAGGGAAACTCACTCACTTCGCATCCCCAAGTCGGCCAGGAACGGATCCCAAGCTCCGACAGGCGCGCCTCCGACGGGTTGCGCTCGATCTTAATGCCCAAACGCTCCTCCACTGCGCCAGCCATGCAGACGAGCCGAGGAGCACACTTGCTCACACGCTTCTTATTTTGCACACGAAAGGTGACCGAAATAGCAGCGCGTGAAGGCTTGACCGTTATGGCAGAAGGGATGGAGGGAACTGACGCTGGCAAACAGCACAACGGCGTGGCACAGGCAAGAGAGATGGAAGCCATGAGAGTTCCGTGGAATGAAAGGGATGTGGGGGACGCAGAACCGTGCACTAGTGAAAAAACTGTCTGGTGAACACGTCGACGACCATGTTGGCGAATTGCAATCCGGAGTCGAATCTTCGCGAAGGGCTTCAGGGCCGAACATCCCCAACGAATGTGGGAGATGAACGTGACCAGATCGAACGATAACCACGAGAACACTTGAATGATCTGGTAGTGTACTTGCTTTATACTACTTATGGTATCCCACACCACTAGCCATATCATCCTCCTCTCCCACATATGCCAACCCCTCTTTCTAGCTACCTAATCTCTAAGCTGATCTGGTTTGCAGCATATCAAAGAGACCACAACAGAGCTTATGGAAAATCCAGAAATAACAATAGATTAATATTGCACTCAGTCACAGCCTACAGATTCGAATAATAGTCCTACCAAGTACTACCTAAATACCGTATATCAAACACAAACCTTGCTGACACACACTGTGCAAGCCACCTTTTGGTGACTTTATAAAACAAAGAAGCACCACTGCAGAATTATAAATGACCAGACACCACTCAGAACAACGGTCGGTTGTGTTGATTGAACCCAGTGCCACTGGCTTCAAACAAACCTATTACGCCTGCAACACCACAAGCCTGTAATCCCCCCTCATCCCGCTATCCTCCTCACTCCACATCATCTCCATCAACCTCCCCTTCCTCCTCCTCTGGAATCTTATCCAGCCACAGCCCATTGTTCCCCACTGTGAGCATGCCACTGTGCGAAAGAGTCGAGCCTGCGAGCACAAGCCCACCACCTCCGGCCGCACCGCCAGCACCTGCAGCACCACTCACAGCACCACTGCTGCCAGCGCCCTTCCCGCTGCTGCCTCTGCTGCCGCTGAGGCGGCCTGGCTTGTCGCCTTCCCTCTCTGGGCTCAGCTGCCCTTCCAGAAGCAGAGCCAGGAACTCATCAGTAACCGCCTCCATCTCCTCTTCCGGCACTCCCACTCCCTCTTCCTCCTCCGCTCCCCCGGCCTTCCCACTACGCAACCCTGCTGCTGTTGCTGCATGTGGAGCGGAGAGCGAGGAATCAGCAGCAGCAGCGCCAGCACCAGTAGAGGAAAGGGCAGGGGCACGTGCTCTGAGCGGTGACTCAGCCCCCTCTGACGACTCAATCGCCACAAGATCCTCCAGCTCAATCACATCCATTATAGTATCATCCTGCGTTTCATTATTCCCAGCGTCCCTCCCAGGTCCAGCATTACCACAAACATCCGAAACTCCTTCCTCACGCACACCCCTCCCTTCCCCTCCATCACTCACACCCACTCCGCCCTTACCTTCCTTGTACCTCCCCAAGCCTTCCCCTTCAACATCAACTCTCTCATCCTCTGTCTCAACCCACCCCTCTCTCACCACAACAGACTCAACCTCACCTCCGCCCTCCGCCCTCTCTCCGCCCTCGTCGCCCCCACCCTTAACCACTCCGCTCTCCGGTTCAACTTCCCCTTCCCCGCTAGCGTAAACTCCCCCCGCCCCCGCCCCGACCTCCCCCACCCCCTCTTCCCCCTCTCGCTCTAGCGACGTTGCCTCAGGCCCTTCTTCCACCCCCGGGGTCTCCCCCTGCCCCTCCTCCATCCCCCACTCCCCTCCGCCGCTCCGCGCCTCCCACGCGGCGCTAGACGACGAAGTCGCGGTCGTGGCGCCCGCCCACCCCGACGACCGCGACGGGCTCGAACTGGGGGAGGTGCGCGCGCTGCTGGGGAGCGAGAACGCGCGGAACGCGCGGGTTTCCGCGCGCGCAACCCGCGCCTCCCCGTACCTCCCGCCGCCGCCACCGCCGCTGTGCTGGTTAATTTGCAGCTCGTACCCGAACGTAGCGAGCAACACGGCGCCTTTCGCGGGGCCGTCGAGCGGGAACGAGAGCGTGTGCGGCCCGATCTCCGTTTCCACAAGCGACTGCGGGACGAGCCGCGAGAGATCCACCAGATGCCGTCCGATCTCGTAGCTGCTGCCCATCCGACCCTCCGCCGCTCCCCCCGCGCCCGCGCCCGCGCTCCTTCCGCCGGCTCCGCCCCCCGTGCGGTCGAGCACGCGGACAACCACAGTAGACGGCTTGCCCTGGAAGCGCAGCGTGGACGAAGGACCGGAGGAGAAGTAAAGCGTGCACGATAACTGCAACATCTGCTCAAATCTCACCACCCCCTCGTTCACCTCCGCAAAGCTCGTTCCCACCGACATTCCGCGCCGCTGCCACGACACCACAGCTTCCCAGCCTCCTCCCCCGCCGCCACCGCCGTTTCTCGGGGTGCCGTTGGGCGGACGGTTGAACGCCGGCGGGAGGCCGCTGATGCCGTGCACGTGCATGGAGAAGCAGCAGCGCGATCGGCGCGCCGCTACCCGAGCGAGCGCACGAAGCGGGGAGAAGCGGCTCAGCAGCATGCCCCCGCCGCCAGATCCGCCGGAAGAGGAGCCGGAGGCGGATCCAGGAGTCAGCGGAACAACAGCGTTGGGGGGCGGCAGCGGACCGGAAACGGGAAGGGCGGAATCCGACGCGGAAGCTCCATCTGCCGTGGGCGACGCGACGGCGGCAGCGGTGCTCCCGGAGCCGTGCGCGGAGAGCGGGAGCGACGGGAGGCGGGCAAGGGACACGACGGCGGCGGAGCGGGTGCGCGGAACTGAACCAGAGGCTTTTGAGGACGAGCCAGCCATAGCCGCGCTCATCATGGTTAGCGACTCGCTAAACCTAATCTGGTCCTCGAGCCACGTGCGGAAATCAGCCATCCCTTCCGCCTGCGCGGCTCCGCGCGCTCCCCCGCCGGCCCCTGGTGCGCCACCTCCGCCGCGCATCGCGTTGTTGTGCTCGTCGTAAGCGGTCGCGCGCAAGCTCTTGCCGCCGCTCCCATCGAAACGCTCCTTAGAAGCATCGGCGCCAGGAGAGAGAGAAGCCGCCCCGCCCGCACCATAAGGCTTCACTTGCCCGTCGTCTTTAGTCTCCTTCGCCTGGCTTTCCGCAGACGGCGCTGCTGCCATGGCGCCGGCTCTCGAGCGAGGGTGAAGGGACGCGGCGTGCGCGTTGGATCGATAGATAACGCCCTCCTTGGCGCTCACGCTGCGGCCGTGCGCGGCCAGTCCCCGCCGCACGCCGTGCTCCGCTGCAGGAGCGGCATCGACGTCCACGCCCATAATTAGATCACTACAACCTTGCGCACGTGCGGATAAAATAAGGTAATAAATAGATGGCCTAATGATAAATAAATAGCGGAAATTTGACAATACGATGGACAAGCTTCGGAACAACCCTGCGAGTGACAGAGAGAAGGTCGAACGGGAGCGCAACCATGGAACAAGAGGCGATGTTGCGAGGTGAGACCAAGACAGCGCAGGGTGGAGACAGTTAGCAATTGATGAGTTGAGGGGAGAACAGCAGTGTCAGGTCAAGATGCAAGCGGAAGTTTTCCGCTTGCACTATTTTCTAACCGTAAGGTGGAGGCGCAAAGCCACAAAGGGCTGGCGGCTGGGAATTTGGAAAATGACGAGCGGTCAGAAAGAATCGTACGGGTGCACCGGGTGGAAACCAGGAGGTTATGAGTTTTTTTGTAAAGGAGTTGGGGCAATTCATTACATATAGACAGGCTGAATTAAACAAGACATAAACGGCCGATGATCACCAGTTTTGTGCATCTCGTGAAGAGATGTGCTCTAAGAACTTGCGTTGGGCTATGTCCCCACAGTCAAGACATCCCAAGGGTAGTTTTGCAATATTTTTTCTACACAGCCACCATTTTGGATCCTCACGGCGCGTTCGTACCTCGAGTCAGTTTTCCGGATCTGTGTTCTTCGGGTCACTTTACGACTGCGGTACTGATGCGCTGGACTCATCTCGGCCGTAGGTATTGTGACCCGACGTCACTGAAACGAAAGCCTGGCGGACACGGTGTCAGCACCGCCAGCATTCATGCGGGGAGGCGTACGTCAAGCGCCACGAAAAGTTGATCCCCGCATCAAGGTGCAACCATTGGTTCGCGCGGGAAAAGGCCTTTGAGGGGCGTGAGCAACGCTGGAAAGGGACTCTTACGGGGAACTCCATTTCGACGATATTGCGCGCCGTAGTCTCGGGGGAACCCTTGCAGCTGCGCCGTGAACACTTTCCGTCGGTTGGGTGCAGAACATGGGTCTGACACGCCAATGGCAATGTAGCAGAAAAGGAACTGATAGGCGCGAAACTGAAGTGACATCAGATCTCGCCTCTTGAAACGAACAGCGGAACACGTGTCCAATAATACCGTGCTAAAAAAGGCACCTTCCAGAAGAAACCTTGCGGAAGCTCACTGTACTACTCATACAGATGTGCTCTTGAACTTTTTTACTATGGCAGCATGAAGCAATACAAGCAACATGAAGACATGGATTGGTACTTCTAGGAATCGGCAGACAAAAACCCTAGGCTAGCTAATACGCCAACACTATTGGCTTGCCATGCCGGGTCCTTCTGACAAAACCCATCAAGAACACATGGCTCCATGACCATGACGTGCATTCGTGTCGAACCAGCCATAGGCATTGCTGGTTTCGTTTCAGCTGCTCGGATTAAAAGCTGTACTTCCTCCAACCATCTGACAGAACAAATGCAATGGGGAAAAAGTGTGAACTTTTCAATGCCAGCAGCAGTGGCCGCGCACATCAACACAACCAACATCGTGCAAAAGGGGAAAGACCGGAAAAGCTCACCATTTAGTCGCCCTTCTTGCGGAAGGAGCAACCCTCGGTGAGGCGTGCCTTGCCCCCTGTGGGCTGGCACAGCACAGTGGAGCAGCTGCCGCACAGCACCACTGTCTGGGAGTGGCTGAACACCGTCGTGCTGCCGCATTGGCACAGGATGTGCACAGGCAATGGTTGGGGAGTTTGGAGACAGATGCAGGGAGCAAGGGAGGGACGGGGCGAGCGGACAAACGGCAGGAGGGAGGGTGTGGGGGCGGAGAGGAGAGGGATGGTGGGGGGAGGGGGGAGAGGTTGAGAGAGTGGGTGAAGTGGAGAAAGGAGGGAAGCAGGGATACAGAGACGAAGACCCTGCATGTATGAGTGATGACGAGCAGGATTGCACCACGAAACCCCATGACAGAAGCGAGAGAATGGTGGGGAATGACTAGAGAGCGTGAATAAAAGAGAGAGACACGAGACGCGGGGAAGGGCGAAGAGGACAGAAGAGAAGACGAGACAAGGGCGAGGAACGTACATGCTGAAACATCCCTGGCACTTGACATCCTGCCACAGAGAAGCGGGGGATGCGGTTGAGGGGGGGAAGGGCGGGGAGAGGGGGGGTTGGGAGGGGCGGAGAAAGAGAAAAACAGGTTCATGGACAAAAGGAGGGGGTAGCCAAAATGCTGGCAACAGAGGGAAGAAAGCTGGCAGGTGCCAACAGTGGACTAGCGAGTGAGAAACGAGAGAGCGGCAATCGCTCCATCGAGACAGCATACAGAGCAATGCCAGACGTTCACGGAACGACAGATACGCATCCGGGGCACCAAAACGAGAAGCTCGACTACTAGACCGCTAGGCTACTAGACCGCTCGGCTACTAGACCGCTCGGCTACTAGACCGCTCGGCTACTAGACCACTGCGCTGCTAGACAACCCCTCCTGTAAGTGTATGTCGAGACCTCTCGAGATATGTCTGAACTCCAGCATACAGGTTTTCCATAGTCACTAGGCCGTAATAAGTGATCATGTCAGGGGAACCCGGCCCAGCTCCCGGAGTAACCACGTCCAAATGGCTACTTCACTCCCATCTCAATAGCAGCTTGTGCTCGATAATCCCAAGGCCGCTGCCCTGTGCACACTTACCGCTCTGCGCCGCTCAGCACACCAAAGAAACCCCTGCCTCTTGTCATCTGCTCACCGCAAAAATATTTCCACACACTCTCTACACACTAGCCGAACTCGCCCTTGTTCCCCATTCCTTCTCCCCCCAAACCTCGTAACAGCTCCGCCAGAGCTCCGCATCACCCGCGGGTTCCGCCTCACCATGAAGAAGCTGTTGGGCGTGGGCACCAGCCGCTTCATCTTGTGCTTGCGCTTCTCCAACTCCGCGGGCGGGTGCAGCAGATCGATGTCATTGGACAGCACCTGCGCGCACCACCGCAGCGCGCGGGGAGGAGGGTGGGGGGAGAGGGGAAGGGGAGGCGGAACGAGACGTGGACGAGGGAGGGAGGAGGCAGGGGGAAGAGGGAAGGAGGAGGCAGGGGGAAGAGGGAGGGAGGAAGCAGGAGGACGACGGGGGGGGGGGGGGGGGGGGGAAGAGGGAGGGTAATGGGAGTGGAGGATACGGGAGAGGAGGAGAGGGGGAGGGGGCGGGAGGGAAAGAAATTTAAAATTGGGCGGGCGAGAGCGTGATGAGGGAAAGAGCGGGAAGGGAGGGGACGGGAGAAGGCAAGGTGCAAAGTTCCAATTTCCCCGGATCAACAGCTTCAGAGTAGTTATCGTTCTGGCGAGAACGCCGCGTCTAACCTGCAACCTACGGCTTGAATTTCGGCCTGTCAAAAAGGCTGAGCCAAATGGCTACGAGCGAGGAATGCGCACTGGCAGGAATGGTGCACTGAGAGCAGTGGTCCGTAACCTACGAGTTACTAACGACCCAGTCATGGCTCGAACGGGGGCCTCAACTAATCAGACGGACTGTACGCAGTGGTTACTGAATAAACCTCGACATGTCTCTTCTCGGCAGGCGTGTCGATCTGGGCGGAACCACTGACGTCAGCCGTCAACCTCCCATGCGTAAACCCTAAAGTATCAGCGGAACGACTTGGTCTGCACAACATGTCAGACGGAACGGAACGTGTCTTCAATAGGCGAACGTAATCGATCATAGGTGGAGCCACGGCCTAAGAATCGACTAGGACGCACTCTTAACCTTGGCGTGTGATCGACGCAAATCTTTATCAGCCGTACGTCAACCGCGCGGGAAACAAGTTTCAGGTCAACGTGATAGTGAGCAACGAGAGCGGCGCAACGACATGGCCTAAAAACACAACGAGACGGCACAAACTTCCTTGGCCACGCAAACAGCGAGACACACACATCCGAATGACGCGAAAAGGTATCTCTTCAGAACCCGATAACGCACTACAAGGATGAATACTCCTAGCAACAAATAACTCGCAGGGACTGGGATTAGAAGCGGTACCCACCATGGTGCCGGAGCTCGAAGGCCTGCCTGCAGCAACGGAGCTAAGAGGGCGTCACGAGACGAGAGGGTGAAAATAGTGCTGCCGTTAGGGCTTTATCCTCCCCTCCAGCCCAGGCCCGCTGATCCGCACTGCACGCTTGAAGGGGGTTGGGGAAGGCGGGGAGTCAAAGGGGAAAATGGGGAAGGAGAAAGCGAGGGGAGCACAGGGCCTCTGGCGCAATCGCCTCCGCAGGAAGAACTCTGGCACGCAAGGGGAAGGGGGATGAAAGGGGATGTGACAACACCGAAAGAGATCACTGTGATTTAGATTACTGTACATGACACTCCCTAAAAATATAGTAGTATATTTACATAATCAATCAGCTGACTCTTACCAGTATGTAATAATGGACAGATGTAGACAGGCATGCGTTAGAATCGAATTCAAACTACAGATATCAGCATCGGTAGCACAATGCTGTTCTCATGCAAATGATTTCAACCAATAGAATAATGATAAATAACCTCTGGTGAAATTATATCGCGAACAGTTTCTTTACCGGAGCTCGAACTGTTACAGAAAGTAACCAGAACCAAGATCCTTCGCCAGCACGGCATGGGACCCTTGGTCCTCCATTCTGCACCTGCCCGCCCCGCTGGATAAATCTGCCAGGTCCGCCCAGCAATCTTTCGCAGTCAATCCTTTCGTCCGCTTGCCCCACTCAACTGGTTTTCTCCTCTCTTCCATGTCACTTCCATTCCGTTCCATTCTCCCGCATTGACGGAGCCTGCTGCGTTTGCCAGACGATGTTGACATGACAACACTGCTTCGATGTCTCTGCCATTCCTCCCATCCCAGGACTGCTTCTGCCATATCTATCTCGAGTTTCGCGCATCCCCGCCTTTTAGCAACAACACCAAGATGACTAATACATTCACATTTCTTTCACTACCTTCGTAACACACCCGAATTGTGGGTCTGCATCTGGAGGAGAGCAGCTCATTCGAACTGCTTTGCCGATTAATAAGGGGTTCCTGACTGTAGTACTAACCTACGCTTTCCATCTCTCCGTCTTTCTTTATTAATTTCTAGAAAAAATCTCTCGTAGAAATTCCGAATGGGTAAGGATCAGCAGCGTCAGTTGGTGCTGTTCCTCGGCGTGATCTGCGACGGTAACATTCTCGTCTCGTACTCGTCGCAGCAGGAATGGGAGCCGCTCGTGCGCGATTCCGTTCAAGAGCTTCCTCCTTACCTCAGCAGATATTCCGCGGTAAGCCTCGCTTCTGCGTCAGATTCCGGCCGAGCTTGGGAGAGTAGGAAGAAACGGGGGGGTTGGGGGGAGAAGCGGGGGAGGGAGGGGTGGGGGGGAGGAATCATGAATGATGACGCTCACGCGCACCTTCCCCTTCTTCCACTTCTCTCCACCTGTTATCTTTCGTGCATCTCACGACACCTCTCGCGCCCTGCATCGCTCATCCGCGCAGGGCCAGGGGGGTATTATGGCCCTCTACTCCGCCTTCCCGTTCCCCCCCGCGGAGCTCAACGTCCCGCCCGGATACCCCTCCTCCTCCTCCTCCCCCTCCTCCCCCTTCCCCTCCTCCTCCTCCATGCACCCTGCTCCAAGGCTCACGTACGCCCTTATCGCGTACGAGTCCGCGTCTCTTCCGCGGCCCAAGGCGTACGCGCTACTAGCGCGCGTCCACGAGGGATTTGTATCGCACGCGGTCGCGGCAGGTGCGGGCACCAGCTCTCCCACCCGCACTGGCATCCCACAAATCACCTCCACCATGACCTCTCGCCTGCAGTCCTTTCTCAAATCGCTCGCCCAGGGCGCCCGGGGTAGCCGCACAAGCCAGGAACTCTCTATCTACCCTCTCGCCCCGCACGCGTTTCGGGTGAAGGCCCCTGGGGAGGACGCGGAAGCAGAGGCGGCGAAGGGAGCGCGTGATAAGGCGGAGGCCGCGCGCATGGACGAGATAAAGAACCTTCTGGATCAGGAGTTGGAGATGGTGAACTGTATTGTGCAGGAGCAGGAGGCGCAGGAGCAGGCGAGGAGGATCTCTTTAGAGTCGAGTCAGGAGGAGGCAGCGCGTGTGGATGAGATAAATAAGCTGCTTGATCAGGAGTTAAAGATGGTTGACTGTATTGTGCGAGAGCAGGAGGCGCAGGAGCAGGCGAGGATGAAGGAGCACGAGGCGCAAGGGAGCGTGCGCAGCGCGGGAGCTGTGCAGAGAGGTGTGCAGAGTGGCGCTGCGGGGTGGACAGACTTGGGAGCGTCGTCAGTCCCAGCAGGATCAGGGCAGTCACCTGAGCGTTCCGTGCAAGGTCACTGGGAGCCAGTGGCAGGCCTGTCACCTCCTCCTGGTCGTAGGATATCACAACCTGCTGCTGCTGCTGCTGCTGCTGCTGCTGCTGCTGCTGCTGCTGCTGCTGGCACCTCGCCCATGGCACAGCCTGCATACGTGCGGTTTCCTGGCAGTGGGTCACACCCTGGTGGGCTATCGCTTGACGAGCTAGGTCGTGGGCCTGACGTCCATGCCCGCATGCTCACGCCTGCTGCTGCTGGTGCTGCTGCCGGTGCTGCCGGTGCTGCCGGTGCTGCTGCTGCCGGTGCTGCTGCTGCTGCTGCTGCTGGTGCTGATAAGCAGGGCTGGGAGGGGAGGCCAATGGTGGTTCCGCGGTCACTGACTGACCCGCCACAGAAAGGGAACACTCGCAGCACTGCTGCTGTCCCGGGAGACGTGTCGCCATGGCACATTCCTCCTCCCTATAGTAGGGAACTCTCCTTTGCACCTGCTCTCCTCGTACCACCACCATCAGCAGCAGCAGCAGGAGGAGGAGCAGCAGCAGCAGCAGCAGGAGGAGCAGGAGCAGCAGCAGGAGCAGGAGCAGAAGGCATGCGGCCAGGCAGGGCGCATGGCACGGGTAGTGTGGTGGGTGATCCTAGTCCCACAGGTGGCAGCTTTTTATGTCTTCTACCAGCACAGAGCGGCGTTACTTTCTCCCAAGTCAAAAGCACCGTGGGTAGTCATGACCCTGGGATTGCCTCACCGCCTCAGTTGAACGTGAGCAACACCCTGGGCCACCACCTGAGGGCCGTTACCCGCCCTCTGTTGCCCTCACCTGACGGCGCCAGGGTGTCACCTGAAGGAACACATGAGGTGCAGGGGGGGGAGAAAGGCTGGGGGGCTGTGGCGGGTGCAGGGATGGAGAGGGAGAAGGAGAGGGATGCGAGGGAGGGTGGGAAGGCTGTGTCTCCTGCGTGTGGTGCTGGTTACAGGCGCACCGACGGGGGGAGGATTCACGCTCAGGCTCACACCCCTGCCGCCGCTGCTGCTGCTGCTGCTGCTGCTGCTGTTTCTGCTGCTGCTGCTGCAGCAGCTGCTCCTTTTCCGGTTAGTGCTCACTATTCTATCAACTCTCCAGATTCCCCACCCCCTCTCTCCCCGCCTTCCTCCTCTTCTTTCTGTCTCCGTCCTTCCCTCTGCAATTTCGCGCTCTCCCTTCTTCCTATCTCCCCTTCACCACGCATGCACAGATGCGAACAACCTGTCTGGACCGTTCTCCATCTCTTTTCAAATTTGCCTTGAAAAACTCGTCACACTCATGCAGATATGTTTTCAATCGCTCGGCACCGCTCATTCGCATTCATTCCCTCCACTCTACCCGCTCGCCTCTCCCCCTTCGCCTCTCCCCCTTCGCCTCTCCCCCATTCCCTTGCAAATCCATTCCCGGCTCCTCCTACTGCAGCAGCAAGCACCACACGAGCACATGGCCATGGCGACAGCAACAGGAACAGCAGCAGGAGCAGGAGCAGGGGCAGGAGCAGGAGCAGCAGCAGGAGCAGGGGCACGAGCAGGAGCAGTAGGAGCAGGAGCAGTGGGAGCAGGAGCATCAGCAGCAGGGACAAGGGCAGTGGCAGGGTCAGTGCGTCCTGTCTCCCCTTTGAGTGCCCGTCCGCATCATAATAAAACCGGTGTGAGTGCCCAAGCTGCCAGGAACTCTAGTCCCTCTGCTGGGTATGCACAACCCTGCCCCCAAAGCCCCACACGCTTGTCCCATAAGCCCATAGTGCTAACTCCCATCAGCGCCGCGACTGCTTCACATGCTTTTGGCATTGCTCCTGCTCCTGCTGCTGCTGCTGCTGCTGCTCCTCCTCCTCCTCCTCCTCCTCCTCCTGCTGCTGCTGCGACTGCCACTTTCAATGCTCCAGCACGCCCCAGGAGTGCATCGCCGTACGGCAGGGCGAGGAACACGGATGATTTCGTTCCCACTGGTGCCTTTGCGGCTGTCGCTGCTGCTACCGCCGCTGCCGCTCCTGGTGGTGCTGGCACTGGCGCTGGTTTTACTGGTGCTGGTTTCGCTGGTGCTACTGGTGCTACTGGTGCGTATGCTACAGTCGCGAGGCATCGAAGCCCATCTGCTGCTGACGAGCTGTCTCTGGAGCTAGAAGAAGCGCTTCGCCTCGCAGTGGACACGGAGGTAGACTTACGGCATCGACAACCCCGCTCTCCCATGCGGGTGAACGACCACCGCATGTCACAGCATCAGCAGCAGCAGCAGCAGCAGCAGCAGCAGCAGCAGAAGCAGCAGCAGCAGCAGCAGCAGCAGCAGCCAGTGTCACAGCAACCAAGAGCCCCCATGCGCACCCAACCCCGCATTCCCAACCTTTCCGCCCACGTCTCGCCCATCTCCTCCTCCTCCCCCTCCACCTCCCCCACTGCCACCTCTTCCCGAGGCCATTCGGATGTATCAAATAGGGGGAGAAGCAGCCAGCAGCACAGGAGTGCTGCTTCAGCACCCAAAGCCCGGCCCAGGAGCTCCTATTTCCCCAGTGAGGCGGGGAAAGGCACGCGCGCTTCTGACGAATGGAGGGATGAGTGGGACGCGAGGGCGCGGGCTGGTGCGGGGAGTGACGCGTCGCGTCCTGAGGAGGGACGGTTGTTCCATGCGCTAGGGCACAAGGTAAAAGCTCTGTTTCGCAATGAGAGGAAGGGAGATGTGGCGACAGCACCTGTAAAACCTGCGGTGGCAGCGGCGGCTGCAGCAGGGACAGGACCAGCAGCATCAGCAGCAGCAGCAGCAGCAGCAGCAACACCAGCAGCAGCAATGAGGGAGGAGGAGGCAGCAGCACAGGCAGCGGCGTTGGCACTGGCTAACGTGCAGCGGATTACAGGAGGGCTGAAGAAGCTGGATGGGAAGATTCGCGACGGCAGGGTTTCAGGGAAGGAGTGACCCAAGGTCTGAAGGAAGGTCTGAAGGAAGGTCTGAAGGAAGGTCTGAAGGTGGCAGGGTGCCTGGAACTGGGAGTGCAGCTGTCTTCTTAGTCTCTTCGTACTCTACTCGGCATGGCATCGTGGCAACTTGCTTACTCAACATGCCTGACAACTTGCTTGCGGCGATTTAGTGTAGTCATAGCACTAAAGTTGTTGCATCGGTGAAAGGTGATATAGAGGCGAGAAGGAAACGTGTGTGGGGATGGTTCGGATGGGTGCAGGCAGGAGGTGAGACGTGTGTGGTTGGGGAGGGTGTCTGGTTAGAGAGGGAGGTTGATTTGAGTTTGTTTGTTTGCTTGGAGTATGAGTGGGTGTGAGGAGTGAGTGGGTGTGAGGAGTGAGTGGGTATGAGGAATGAGTGGGTATGAGGAATGAGTGGGTATGAGGAATGAGTGGGTATGAGGAATGAGTGGGTATGAGGAATGAGTGGGTATGAGGAATGAGTGGGTATGAGGAATGAGTGGGTATGAGGAATGAGTGGGTATGAGGAATGAGTGGGTATGAGGAATGAGTGGGTATGAGGAATGAGTGGGTATGAGGAATGAGTGGGTATGAGGAATGAGTGGGTATGAGGAATGAGTGGGTATGAGGAATGAGTGGGTATGAGGAATGAGTGGGTATGAGGAATGAGTGGGTATGAGGAATGAGTGGGTATGAGGAATGAGTGGGTATGAGGAATGAGTGGGTATGAGGAATGAGTGGGTATGAGGAATGAGTGGGTATGAGGAATGAGTGGGTATGAGGAATGAGTGGGTATGAGGAATGAGTGGGTATGAGGAATGAGTGGGTATGAGGAATGAGTGGGTATGAGGAATGAGTGGGTATGAGGAATGAGTGGGTATGAGGAATGAGTGGGTATGAGGAATGAGTGGGTATGAGGAATGAGTGGGTATGAGGAATGAGTGGGTATGCGGAATGAGTGGGTATGAGGAATGAGTGGGTATGAGGAATGAGTGGGTGTGCGGAATGAGTGGGTATGAGGAATGAGTGGGTATGCGGAATGAGTGGGTCTGAGGAATGAGTGGGTATGAGGAATGAGTGGGTATGAGGAATGAGTGGGTCTGCGGAATGCGTGGGTATGAGGAATGAGTGGGTATGCGGCCTGAGTGGGTATGAGGAATGAGTGGGTATGAGGAATGAGTGGGTATGAGGCCTGAGTGGGTCTGAGGAATGCGTGGGTATGAGGCCTGCGTGGGTCTGCGGCCTGAGTGGGTCTGCGGCCTGCGTGGGTATGCGGCCTGCGTGGGTCTGCGGCCTGCGTGGGTCTGCGGCCTGCGTGGGTCTGCGGCCTGCGTGGGTCTGCGGCTGCGTGGGTCTGCGGCCTGCGTGGGTCTGCGGCCTGCGTGGGTCTGCGGCCTGCGTGGGTCTGCGGCCTGCGTGGGTCTGCGGCCTGCGTGGGTCTGCGGCCTGCGTGGGTCTGCGGCCTGCGTGGGTGTGCGGCCTGCGTGGGTGTGCGGCCTGCGTGGGTGTGCGGCCTGCGTGGGTGTGCGGCCTGCGTGGGTGTGCGGCCTGCGTGGGTCTGCGGCCTGCGTGGGTCTGCGGCCTGCGTGGGTCTGCGGCCTGCGTGGGTGTGCGGCCTGCGTGGGTCTGCGGCCTGCGTGGGTCTGCGGCCTGCGTGGGTCTGCGGCCTGCGTGGGTCTGCGGCCTGCGTGGGTCTGCGGCCTGCGTGGGTCTGCGGCCTGCGTGGGTCTGCGGCCTGCGTGGGTCTGCGGCCTGCGTGGGTCTGCGGCCTGCGTGGGTCTGCGGCCTGCGTGGGTCTGCGGCCTGCGTGGGTCTGCGGCCTGCGTGGGTCTGCGGCCTGCGTGGGTCTGCGGCCTGCGTGGGTCTGCGGCCTGCGTGGGTCTGCGGCCTGCGTGGGTCTGCGGCCTGCGTGGGTCTGCGGCCTGCGTGGGTCTGCGGCCTGCGTGGGTCTGCGGCCTGCGTGGGTCTGCGGCCTGCGTGGGTCTGCGGCCTGCGTGGGTCTGCGGCCTGCGTGGGTCTGCGGCCTGCGTGGGTCTGCGGCCTGCGTGGGTCTGCGGCCTGCGTGGGTGTGCGGCCTGCGTGGGTGTGCGGCCTGCGTGGGTGTGCGGCCTGCGTGGGTGTGCGGCCTGCGTGGGTGTGCGGCCTGCGTGGGTCTGCGGCCTGCGTGGGTCTGCGGCCTGCGTGGGTCTGCGGCCTGCGTGGGTGTGCGGCCTGCGTGGGTCTGCGGCCTGCGTGGGTCTGCGGCCTGCGTGGGTCTGCGGCCTGCGTGGGTCTGCGGCCTGCGTGGGTCTGCGGCCTGCGTGGGTCTGCGGCCTGCGTGGGTCTGCGGCCTGCGTGGGTCTGCGGCCTGCGTGGGTCTGCGGCCTGCGTGGGTCTGCGGCCTGCGTGGGTCTGCGGCCTGCGTGGGTCTGCGGCCTGCGTGGGTCTGCGGCCTGCGTGGGTCTGCGGCCTGCGTGGGTCTGCGGCCTGCGTGGGTCTGCGGCCTGCGTGGGTCTGCGGCCTGCGTGGGTCTGCGGCCTGCGTGGGTCTGCGGCCTGCGTGGGTCTGCGGCCTGCGTGGGTGTGCGGCCTGCGTGGGTGTGCGGCCTGCGTGGGTGTGCGGCCTGCGTGGGTGTGCGGCCTGCGTGGGTGTGCGGCCTGCGTGGGTCTGCGGCCTGCGTGGGTCTGCGGCCTGCGTGGGTCTGCGGCCTGCGTGGGTGTGCGGCCTGCGTGGGTCTGCGGCCTGCGTGGGTCTGCGGCCTGCGTGGGTCTGCGGCCTGCGTGGGTCTGCGGCCTGCGTGGGTCTGCGGCCTGCGTGGGTCTGCGGCCTGCGTGGGTCTGCGGCCTGCGTGGGTCTGCGGCCTGCGTGGGTCTGCGGCCTGCGTGGGTCTGCGGCCTGCGTGGGTCTGCGG